CCATCTGATGCCGTATTCCCTTTTTTCTATTTACTGGAGTAAATTCTGCAGTATTAGAAAAGCAAATTTCACTTTTAGTTCACAGTTGTATTTCTATTGGAGAGCTCTATCTTTCAAGTTAGAGCCATTATGGATAACTTCACAGCTTGGCTCCTCTACCAAACTTGTAGCTCTTCATGAGGTGGCAGCACACTAAGGAGACAGAACTTAGTTAAGAGGATCAAGTTGCATCTGCATGTAGGCTGGTGTACCAAAAATTCCAAAGTTACTCCCAGGTCCTAGGGTTGCACTCAAAGGAGGAGGCCAGAGACCAAACTCCAGTCTCATGGTGATGGGGGGCGTGGGGGAATGTGGCAAGCTCAGGTCACTAGAGTGCTGGGTGACAGAGTAATTTAATTTCCAAAGTTAACCCTCAGGGCCCGCGGGTGGACTCAGGAGAGAATGCATGCAAAGGCCAGACTCAAGTCCTGTTTTCCAATTTTTTTTTTTTTAATAATTATTTTATTTGCCCATAGAGGGATAGAATTGGAGGTAGGGAGCAGGGAGAAAGTGTGAAAACAAACTGTCAGGTCCAGGACTCTGAACTGCAGTTGACCGTGTGGGAATCTAGCACCCTTAGCCACCATACCACCTACTGGTCTCCTATTTTAAATTATTTATTTTTTTAAGAAAGAGATATTTTGGTATAGGGCCTAAAAATCTTGACAGAGACAGAAAAGGCAAGAAATCAGCCTCTGGGGAGATGACCACACCACCTTCACTTTTTCATTCTCCTCCCGAAATTTTGGGCATGCATGCATATGTGCTGGACGTGAGTTTTAATTGCTGGTCTGGGAAAGTGAACTGCAGTTTGACTACATAGATGTTCTATGATATAACTATTATGCCATCTGCTGGTCCACCTATTTTTTTTAATTTATGAATGAGATTTTTGCTGTAGGTTACCTGTGCTTACTAGGTAGAGAGAGACAGAGAGACAGAAAGTAGAAATCACTCCTCAGGGAGCATGGCCATACCGCAATCCTTTCTCCATTTTTCTCTAGGGATTTTGGGCTCACGTATCAATGAGTTTCAAGCCGCTGGGTCTGGAACTCGAACCACTGTCTGCCATGTGGGAGTCCAGTGACGGAACCATTACACTATCTGCTGGTCCCTGTAGATTTTTAAGAGTCATAGTTGTTTTGTACCATTTTGTACCTTTTGTTTTTAGTAGCATTTTCACTTGTTTTTTAGCACTTGTAAATGCAATTTTAAATGAGTATATAATCTGTTAAATTATTTATATTCTCTATTTATTGTAAACGCTTAGGATCAATACCAGTAGTAGATCTAGGATTTACATTATTCCACATTCTGTGAGGACAGGAAAATACTTAAAGAAATGACAATATAGTATAATATATGCTAATGCAGGGTATGCACACAGCATTTCAAAGACTCATACCAAGGGCCTTGTACTGTCCTAAAGAAAGAGTAAGTGTGATTGTATAGAAATGTAGGCAGAAAACACATGTTTCAGACAGATACATGACAGGAGATAGGCATAAAAGATGTGTGTAAATTCTATTTCACTTAACTGAGACCCTTAATTATTTGTGTTAATTGCCCCAGCCAAGGTGAGTAATCAAGTAATCAAGATATACCTCTTAAATATTTTAACTTGAATACACAAATGAATATTCAGTAATGTATCTTATATAAGGCCAGAATCATACTTTAGATATACACGAGTTAGTTGCAGTTCTTAGTGAAATTCTTACATAATTACATTCATAATGTATACAAAATGTAATGGATTCTGGTTTTAAGCATAATCAGAACTTTACAGTATTGGAAAGCCAATAGATATGGACAGCTATATGGATCTTTGAGATGTTTTCTAATTTTTCTTTTGTATGTTTTCCTGTAATTTGTTTTTTGAAAGTTTTATAGTGTCTGATTTATATTTCATTGTACATCTCCTTGGGGTGTCATGGTTGTTTAAAGCAGATAATCAAATCAGTGATATTACTGTAGTCATTTTCAACAAAGGATATTACATTATGTTATGTGCCTTTATTTTCTGTGTACTAGGTCTTTTTTTTTTTCCCACTTTGGAAGAATTGTGTATTTGATTAATAATGCCTTTTATTTTACTCTTCTGTGGTATACTGTTCTGTAACCTCTTGGTCTTGTTTAAGTACATTCTTGTGTCTGTTTTATAATTTTTTCCTGAGGTTTCACCCACCCCCACCCCTTGTTCCCCCATTCATTCTGTGGTATCTGTACTTGCTTTCTTTTCCATCTTTTAATTTAATTCTTTTTATTTCAGAACGTCTTTTTCTTTATTTGTGATAGAGTGCCTGTGCACACAGGTGAGACTGAGGGAGGGAGGCAGGAAGGAAGGAGAAGAGAAGAAAATTAAGAGTATCATCCTCATAGGGTCTGGTCATCCCATGACTCCCTCCTCCAGCCCTGCAGCCTGTCTGATTCTAAGCACTTGTTGAGCACTGACATGTTTCAGGCTGACTGGGCTGGAGCTTTAAAGCCATGAGCAATGTGGAAAATGAATTCTTTTGTGGAGTGCATTACTGCTGTGCCATTGAGCTGGCCCAATTTTAATTTTATAGCACTTTTTATTATTTATTTATTTTTGGAGAGATTTTTGTTATAGGGCACATGTTCTTGCCAGAAAGACAGAGAGAGACAGAAAGTGAGAAATCACCCCCCGCCCCCGGGGGGATGGCCATGCCACAATCCATTCTCCTGACAGGATCTTGGGCACACACACACATGTGCCCGGCGTAAGTTTAAGCCACCAAGTCTGGGACTTGAACCGCAGTCGACTGCATGGGAGTCCAGCGACATAGCCATTATGCCAACTATTGGTCCCTATACCACTTTTTTTTTTTTTAATTGAAAGTAGCTTACACGCTCAAGGTAAGCTAAAATTAATTAATTAAATTTTTATAGAAATACATGTTAAGTTTTACTAAGGTGAGATATATTTTTCTTTCTTTTCTTTCTTTTTTGTTTTTGTTTTTCTTTTTTTTTTTTTTTGTTTGGGAGAGGTTTTTGGTTTAGGGCAAATGCGCTTGCCAGAAAGAGACAGACAGAAAGTGAGAAATCACCCTCCAGGGAGGATGGCCACACCTCAATCCCTTATCTTCCATTCTTCTCTTGGAATCTTGGGTGCGCATGCACACTTGCCCGGTGTGAGTTTAAGCCACCGGGTCCAGGACTCGAACTGCAGTCGACTATATGGGAGTCCAGTGACATAGCCATTATGCCAACTACTGGTCCTAGGATATGTTTTGTTTCTCTGCTATGTGCTGAACACCAAAGTGTGTGATCTAGGGTAGCTGTGAGAATGGCAGGGCTTCTGCTGAGCAGAAAGCTTTGGAGAGGTGGTTGTTTTGCAGTGTTAGAGGTCAGATGAGAAAGCTTTTATGGAGCCAGCAAGTGATATGGCAGTTAAGAGGCTGGACTTCTCACACGGCTGGCCATGGACATAGTGGCTTGAAAAATCACACCAGGCATGTGTGTTTAGAATCCATGGAGGAGAGGGAATTCCCAGAGTGCGTGCGTGTGCGTGCGTGCATGTATAGGGGTGGGGATTTCTCATTTTACCTCTCCCTGTCTGTGTATCTATAGAGAGTGCACACATCCTATGGTAAAAACTTTAAAAAAAGAAAGAAAGAAAGAAAGAAAGCTGCTTTTCTCTCTCATAGTTTGGAAAACCATACTTAATATGAGGGTGAAGTATTTAAGGCAGAAGAACATTTTTAAGAAAGGAGGCCAGCAAGACTAGATTCTAAAGAGTTTTATGCGTCATGCCAAGAGTGATGATTCCACAGGCTCAAGGGGTCATTTGAAGAGTTTTTGTCAGGGGAGTGATGCTACTGACTTTGTGCTCTGCAGTAGGTACTGTAGGTACTGAGTTAAGAGAATGGCTTTGGGACAAAAGACCTTAACTTGGCTATGGTGGCTTGGATTGAGGATAATAATATTAAAAAGTGTAGTTACTTAGCCAGCAGATGGTGTGGATGTTAAGACAGCTGGATCCCACATGGATCCCTCAAGTCTCAGAACTGGCAGCTTGAAAATCATGCTGGGCATGATTTCTCACTTGCCCTCTCTGTCTGTCTCTGGAGAGTGCATGTGCTCTATCAGTTTTTAATATTTTAAATGTAATTATTAGATCTTAGTCATTAGAATTTTGTTATTCCTTTTTTGGGCTCAAAAAGGTACTGAAGGCTGGCATTGTGACATAGTGTTTAAGTGCTGTACTTTGGGAGTCAAATTCCACATGGCCGACTACAGTTTGGATCCCCACTGTAGTGGTTTGAAAAACCACGTCAGGGGGCTGGCAAGTGGCATGGTGGTAAAAGGCGCTGGACTCCCACATGGCCGACCATGGTTAAAGTCTCGGACCTGGTGGCTTGCTTTCTCACTCCCTCTCTCTCTCTGTGTGTCTCTCTGATCAAACTGGAAAATAATAATGATAATAATAATAAATAAAGTTAAATAAAATAATTCTTTTTTTTTTAAAAATGAAAAACCACGTCAGGTGTGTGTGTGTGTTTGTGTGTGGGTGAGCCCCAAATCCTGCTGGGCTGGAGAAATGGAGGAAGGATTGCACCGCGATCACACCCCATCGGCGGGGCTCTCTCTCTCTCTGGCAATTAACAAAAACTGATGCTCAAACATATTTATTGTAACATGAATTTATGTTTATTTCTTTAGGATAGATTTTTAAAAATTTAATTCATTTTATGCTAAACACTGCCATAGATGGTTTGGTGTAGAGGTCCACAGAATACAATTCTTATGTAATGGGAGTTTTGGTTATGTGGGAAAGACAGGTTTGAGTGCTACAAAACAGGGAACAAATTCATGTGGTAATACCTTGTCTAGAATATGAATGCTTAAAATTCTTGATTAAGATCAAAAGTACTTTCTTAACAGAACAGGAAAATGATATAAATTGTTTTTATGTTTTTTAAAATTATTATTATTAGGTAATAGCAAAGAGAAAAGAAGATTCTGGAAAGATCAAACTTTTGCTTCATTGGCTGCCTGAAGACATGTAAGTATTTGACGTTCTATGTGAATTAATAGTCTTACGTCTTATTTATGTTATCATCTTAAAATTGTTTAAGCTATTGGGCCAGCTGGTGGTATGGTGGTTAAGGGGCCTGGATCCCAAGTGGCTGATTGTGCTATTCAAATCCAGGGCCCTGTGGCTTGAAAAACCTGGCAGGTTTGCGAGTGCGCTTGAACAAATCCCCATGAGAAGAGTGGAGGAAAAGAGATCCCAGCATGGCCACCCCCCCACGAAATGCATTCTTAACTGTTTGGGGAAGTGAGGAGGTTGCTATAGGGGTGGGAGTGAGAAATAACCCCCAGCAGTTCTGACCACACAGTAGTCCTTTCCCTTGGGATTTTGTGCACCTGCACACAAGCATCTAGTGTGTTTTTCAAGTTGCCGGGTCCTGAACTTGAACTGTAGAGTCAAGTGTGTGGATCCTGCACCTTAACCACCACACGGCTTGGTGTGCCTGGTTCTTTCTCACTTTAAAATCTCAACCTAATGGCTACGTTGCTAGACTCCTATGTAGTTGACTGCCGTTCAAGTCCTGGACCCAGTGGCTTAAACTCACACTAGGCGCATGTGCGTGCGGGCCGAAGATCCTGAGAAGAGAATGGAGAACGGATTGAGGCGTGGCTGTCCCCCCTCCTCCCCCTGGGGCAGTGATTTCTCACTTTTTGTCTCTGTCTTTCTCTCTCTTTCTGGTGAACGAACACATGTGCTGGTAGCAAAACTTCTCAAAAAAAAAAAAAAAAACTAATAAAAAATCTCAACCTCTCTCTTTCTCTCTCCCTCCCTCTCTCTTTTCTACTCTCTCTTCTTCTCCCTCCCACTCCAAAACCAAAAAGTGCATGTGTCCTCCCTACAGCAAATTAAAAATAAATAATAAAAATAAAAGAAACTTAAATACATGTAACTTATAAAAATTATTTAAGCAGCACCAGCCCGTGGCATAATGGTTATGTCGATGTGGTCAACCGTGGTTCTAGTCCCGGACCTGGTGTCTTCAAATTCTTGCCGGGCATGTGTGCATGCATATCCAAAATCCCAAGAGGATAATGGAGGAGAAAGGATTGTGGCGGCGTGGCCAGTCCCCCCGGGGGGTGATTTCTCGCTTTCTGTCTCTGTCTTTTTAGTAGTTGATTTCATTTTCCCTTGAGATTTTTTTTTTCTTTCTTTTAAGAGAACTTTTTGATATAGGGCATATGTGCTCACTGGAGATACAGAAAGCAAGAAATCACTCCACCACCACCACCACCACCTTGGAGGGGTGGGGGACAGGCACACCGAAATCCCCTCTCCTCTGTTCTCTCAGGATTTTAGGCATGCATGCACACACACATAGTGTGCGTTTTAAGCTGCTGGATCTGGGACTTGGACTGTGGTTGACTAGATGGGCGTCTAGTGACATAACCATTAGGTCATCTGCTAGTTCTTCCTTTGAATTTATTAATAGTGATGGCTCTTTACTTCCTCTCCTTGGGATCTTGGACATGCCCACACAAGTTCCATTTTGCAACATCTTCCAAGCCATCGATCAGGGACTCAAACTTTGCAGTTGACTGCATGGGGTCAGCTGCCCCAACAACCATACCACCTGCTCACTAAAATTCTCTAATGTCCTTTTAGAGCATTTCTGACCCAGCTGTTCAGATATTTTATGCTTGATTTTTTTTTTATCTTTTTAATAATAATAATAATAATTTTTTTTTGTCATGAAAGATCATTAATGGGCTAGCCCATGGCCTGGTCATGGAGGTGGCTAGATATCACATTGTCGATTGAATCCCAGACCAGAGACTTGAAAAATATTCCAGTGCAGCAAGTACATGCCCAAAATCCTCAGAGAAAGAAATGGAGGAGAAGGGATTGCAGTGTTACCATTCCCATCGGGGGAGGGAGGTACATGAAGGGTAAATTTAAAATTAATGTCATTTTTATTATTGATTTGTTTTTTCATTCATAGTTTGCCTGATGTGTGGGTGAATGAAAGTGAACGACATCAATTAAAAACTAAAGTAGTTCATTTATCAAAGCTACCCAAAGATACTGCCTTGCTTTTGGACCCAAACATATACAGGTAATTTAATTAAGACTTTATGTTTCACCTTTAAAATCGTGATCTTAACTCTCTCTAAATTTTGGATAAGTTAGGAGTACTGAATTTATTTTCTGTACTTCATTCATACGGAAATTATTTCATAGAAAGTTAATTGTAGGGCCAGCAGGTGGTGTGGTGATGAGGTGACTGAATTTTCACATGGCCACCATGGCACCTTTACCGGACCCTACAGCTTCAAAATCGTGCCTGGCAGGTGTGCATTCCAAAAATCCTGAGAGGAGAACCAAGGACAAGGGATTTAGATGTGGCCATCCTCTCTGGGGGGTGATTTCTCCCTTTTCTTCTCTTTGTCTGTCTCTGGTGCATGCATGTGCCCTATGACAGAAACTTAAAAAAAAAAAGTTAATTTTAGATTTTAGATAGGCTTATTCTTAGCAAAGTGTATATGCCTGTTTAATTCTACATTTATCTTACATCACTTAGTTTGTGACAACTATTTTGAAAATATGTGCCTTTTAAGTTTTCAATTCTTTTTATAGTATCAGACTTTAGTGGACCTGGCATTAATGTCCTAAATACTGTAACTGGTTGACATTTTAAGAGTTATAATCTCCCCAAACTTCAACAGCACCATTGAAATACTATTGTGTTCGTTTTTGCAGAGGTAGCTCACAGTGTTCACATTTCTAACAGTCTTCTGATCTGACCTTTGTTTTAGTGTGCTGTGCTTCTGAAGGTATAGGGGGGGAAGGAGAAGAAACCCACATTTCTGACTATGTGCTGAGTTACTTTGCTAGGTGCTTTACATGTACTTCATCCTCACAGCTGCTCTGTGAAGTAGGTGTTTCTCTCTGTTTTACAGATTGGAAAACTGAGGCAAGAGAATAATTTGATTTGTCCAAGGTTGCTCAGGTTGTATGTGGCCAAACTTAATAGTGCCTGTATCCAAATGATATCCCTTGGGGTGATTAAAAAGTGATGAAGGCTTAAAACTAGTTTTTAAAAGGCTCTGTTGGAGCCAACAGATGGCATGGTGGTTAATGTAATGTAGTCCTATACAGCGGACTGCAATTCGAGTCCTAGATCCTGCGACTTAAAACTCAGGCAGGGTGTGTGTGCGTCCATGCCCCAAATCCCAATAGAACAATGGAGGAGAAGGGGTTGTGGCTCGGCCACCCCACCCCGCACCCAGGCCTGATTTCTTGCTTTCTCTCTCTCTCTGGCAATTGCACGTACTCTATAGCAAAAATTTCTCCCTCTTTCAAAAAAAGGCACTGTTAATGACAGAACTTTATTTGTAAATGAAGTTTTAATTTACTATGCATTTTGCATAGGAACAGGTTTTACAGGAAGAAAGAAGATGCTGTGTAGTTGGCCTTCTTGTGTCTGTAGGTTCCCCATTCATGGGTTCATTTAACTGCAGATTAAAACCGAGGGAAAAATTCTAACAATTAAAAGATTTCAACACAATAAAAATGATAGAACTGTAAAACCAGCACAATGTACAACAAGGATTTCTATAGCATTTATGTTGTATTGGGAGTTACAAGTAATCTAGACATGATTTTTAGACATGATATCAAAATCCGCAGATGCTGAGGAAGCAGTCCAAGGGATGACTGTATAATAATTGATAATTCCCAAACGGGAATTTTAGCTACCAATTAAAGATAGATAATGTTATAGTAGTTAAACACTTGAAGGTTCTGTTCATTCCATGACATAACTTTTTGGAATGTCAGTTAAATGTAATAGACTTCATATAATTTAGGCATTGTTCTGAAAACGAAATTCTTACATAATAGTCCTTGCCATATGGAAATATTGAAACTTGAGCTTCTCTATTCCAAAATAATTTTTTTAAAACATACTTTAGTGAAAGTGCTAAAGTACAATAAAACTTATTGTTTGAATGAGCTAGATTATCAAGGTTAGAGGATTGAGGGAAATCTTTTACCAAAAATAGATGAGACTCATATATGTATATATAAAATCCTGTTTTGAAAAAAAAATTTACTACCACTTAATTAGGATTTATTTATTTTTTTACTCTCTGGAGAGATTAATAAAATTAGCATCCTTCACAATGATATCTTGGGAGAGCCTCTCTGCCTTTTGAACTAATTATAAGCATCTCCTAAGGAGCTAACAAAGAAGCATGAATCCTGATTTATAAAATCAGATCAGTTTGTGATGAACAAAGAAGCATGAATCCTGATTTATAAAATGATATCAGTTTGTGCTTCTCTTCTGCATTTATTCTTCCCTTTTTTAAAGTGTCTTCCTTTCACACCAAATCACCTCATTTTTGCCTCTCTTGGGGTATGTAGGAAATTTTTTAGATGTTTTAGTGAAAGTGACTTAAAATAATGTCATTTGCAAGTAGAACTAATGTCCCAAAATGCAAAGCAGTAGTATTGCATATTCTAAAAGCGTGCAGTTATACTATTCTTACTGATTGCATTCTTGGGAAATGAGAGCCTTCTTTGGGTGTTTTAGGTTCTTCTGTGTAGTGAATTTTCATTAACTGTATCAAACATATTTTAAGTTTTGACTTTAAACTTATGTCTCTGCTCTTCTAGAAATCAGAACCGATTCTGCTCTAAAGTGATACAGAGTCATAGAAGCCTTTATTTTTGCCCTGGTGAAGCACTTTTGCTTAAATTTCCAAATTTTGACTGGGAAACCTTATAAAATTAACTTATGAAGTTAGATAAAGGGAAAGGAAACAGTTATCCTGTTTTTAGGAGAATCATTTTCTCCTTATGCACATATCAAAGTGAAAGTATGGCATGCACCCTATATTTAATTTAAATGAAAGTAAAAAGAACACATTTATTTGAGATTTAAACATTGGTCTTAAACTCATTAAAATGCTTGTGTTAATTATGGAATTTTTTTTTCTTTAAAGACACATTAGCAAGCTATAGTAAAAAATTATAAGGCTCTATTATATGACTAAATTTTGATACTATATGTAAATGTCTTGGAAATAAATTTTAGTAATGATCTGTTAATCATCATATTGCCTGTACTGTATAAATGTTTTTAATGTTTCTTGTTAAGTACTCAATAAATTTGATTCAGTTGAATAAAAAGGAATTCATTTTTCTCTTTTTCTAGAACAATGCCGCAGAAGAGGTTGAAGAGGTAAAAAATAAATAAATACCTAAAAAGCAAACAAGCGGGGACACCTGCAGTCTTAGTCACTGACAATGGGTTTAGGAAAAGTTGCACATTAGAGTCAACCCCTTTCCTTTTTTTTTTTTTTTTTTTTTTTTTTTTTAAAAAAAAAAATCCAGTATTTAGAATTATATTTATGCTTAGTGTAAAACATTCTGTGAATGAAATAGGCTCTTCTGTGGAATATATTAATATATTACTGTATATCCACATTTTCATGGAATGGTATTGTGGGAGACTGAGCAAACACTCTTTTGGCAACTCAGTGAAACAGCTTCTTAAAGGCTTTGCATGCTAGCTGCTCTAAGCTGCTTTTTTTTTCCTTCCCTTTAGCGATTACAGTAGTTTTTATTGGAAATAAAACAATTATAACATGTGCCCCTACAAATACCAAAAGCACTGTAAGGATATTTGTCTTGACAGTGTCTATTGATTTGAAATCCTATGAGGAAATATTTAGACAATGAAAATTATCAAGAGATAATTTACGTTTCAATTATGATAAATAGATGTGATTGGTTGCCATTTGTGTTCTTTTGCAGAACTCTGATAAGAAAAGTGTTCAATTTGTATTTAAGCAAACAGTGAACGACATTTGCAATCAACTAAAAATTCGTCTATCGAATTAGGGCTGAAAATTACTGTTAAAGAGTGTTGCAGTATGTCTGGTGGCTCCCTTTTCAGGACTAGGGTTTTCTCATGGAGTACAGTATGTTAATATTTACCTATATAACTAATCTGTTAACGGTTTTTGAAAAACCTCTATTTCAAATTATTTGAATAATCTTCATATTTTCACTTAGCCTATATGACTCTAATTATTTTTTTTTCCGAGGAAAGCATTTGGTTTTGAGTTTTTTCTTAATGTAAGAAAAAATGTATTTTTTTTAAAGTATCTTCAAACTGAATTCTTTATGCGCCAAAGTTGGTTTTGAAAAGGAAAAAATAAAATCACTTTCTTGCTTGGTAAGCAAGAAGCCATATGGATTTTTTTTTTTTTTAACTTACAGAAATGGAAATATGTGTAACTTGTTAGTATTGTATCAAACAAATGTTGCATAGAGATGATAGAACATTGCTTGTACATAATTCAGCAGATTTGTAATATATTTTTATATTATGAAATGTACTGTAGATGTTTTTTCTAGAGGCATGAAAGTTAAATGTATATATTATGGTAGAAATAATATTGAAGGATATTGTAATTCACTAGTGCTGCCAGAGGAATTGTTAATAAAAGCACCTTCTTTAACAATAAATGTCTTTTGCAGACTTAAAGGACTATATACTACTGTTAATATCTATAAGAACAAAACACATTGAACATCCTTCCAGAAAGTCTTTAAGGGAGGACCTATACCCATAATAGAATTATGGCACTCATTTCTGACAGTGACCGTGAAATCAATTATTTCCTTACTGTTGGAAGGACATATTGTAAAGTATGTGGTTATATGCAGTCAAACTGCAGAAAACGCTCCTGATTAAGGAGTTTTCACTTTACTACAGTGATATAAAAACCAGCAATTTTTACAGTAAATTTTTTAAGTAAAGAATATACACAAATATAGAATCAAGCCTTTGGTTCCAAAATGGGAAAGGTTCCATGAAACATAAATCATTACTCATTTGCTTTAAAAATGTAAAGAATAGTAAGAATTATGGGAGACTTTATTGGTTAACAATGGGGCGAAGAGCTATATACATGAAATGAGTCATATAAAATTAAATGAAGTGCAAATAAAAGTACTGTTACTATAAGACATTCTGGAATGGTTGTTTAATAAGGGTATTATCCATGCGATCTGTAGCAAATGTGATTTTATTTTTAAAAAGTAAAGAAAAGCAGTGTGTTTTCTTACTATATTTTTGTTTTCTCTTGCTTAAGCACTTCATCACTTGCTTTATTCTGTACCTGAGAAGTAATCTGCAATTTCCTTTTTTTTAAAAAAAAAATTCTGATTTGTTATAAAATTGCCAAATAGAAGTGTTTCAGATATAGTTTGTACCTGTATTTTTATTTTATTGCCTCATGTTCTTGTAAGTCATTCTTAATTGACCGATGATTGTAGACTTTGCTTGAATATTTTTTCTAATAAAACAAAGCAAATCACATTTAGCTTCAAATTGTAACAATTCAATTAAATTTTAAAGTGACAACTCAAAAGTACTTTCTCTAGGGACACAGTGAATAAATTAGTTTTTTCATTGTGTAGATATACTTAGATGTCAAAATCAAATTTCATGATTATTGATTAGCCACTCTGTACTCAACCACTCATGGTTCTTTTGCTGCTTATTTGGCTTAGGTTTGCTACTTTCTTACTACACCAAAAAGGATATGGTATTAAAATGAACTAGTTTTGTAACTTGTTTGATGTATACATATATACACACACATTCCATTATGATTGGGAAATAAGTAGAGTTATTAATTTATAATATTCATTTATAAACATGTACCCCTCTATATTATTTCTCCTACCTCCATATATGACTTTTTTTAATATGATGCCTGAATAATCATTCTCCTATTCCAAATCCATCATATGGTTCAGCATCAGGCAAGCCATGGCCCACAGGCATACCCATTCATTTATTTGCCTGACACTGCTTTCTCTCTGCAGTGGCTGAGTTGAATTGTGAGATTTTAAGGCTTGTAAGCCTAAAATATTTACTATCTGGCCCTTTCAGGAAAAAATTTGCTGATATCTTATCTAGTTGATAAACTTTCTGGAAAAGTAAACAGACTGCACAACTTGCATTTTAATATTGAAAGTGTTCATCTTGGTAATAAACCAGTACATTAAATTTCATTGGGAGCTGTGTAATATATATTTAACAGTAAATGTTGCTATATTAGGTATCTGAAACAAGGTGCTTTTATGAAACTTTTACATTGGATTTCTTAATGGTTATTAATAGTTCATCATTTTATCATTTGCATTTATGTGTTTTTTTTTTTTTTTCCAATTGAACAGGGCTTAGATTTTTGTAAATCGGGTCATGTTTAAACCATAAGGCACATCTACTTTATCTAAAGACTCTTGAAGTGGAAAATATTGTAAAATTTAAAGTTGTTTATTTTTCTAATAAACTTTTACTCTTTTATATATAAAATTTTCCTAAAGTGGATACATATTACTTTTGAATCTCAGATGAAATGACATTAAGATGGACAGTAATTAATTTTCAGTGCACATCTTAAGGTTTGTTTTACTCATTGAAAGCAATGATAATCATTGATAACTTTGGCTGTGACTTTTTTCCTGTCATACATTAATAAAATGTTTTAAATATGCGGATAGTCTTAAAAAGATAGAATTTCCAACAGTTGTTTAAGACATCTTTAAATGTTTCCCTTGTAATTCTTAACACATGATTAACAAAATAAAATATAAAAATGGGAAAACCTGCCTGACGTATTTAAAATACGTGGTGTTTGGGACGTTATTTAATCACAGCTTTAAAAAGAATCTTTAATACCTCTAAGTTCTCTAGAAGACAGAGTCTTAATGTCAAGTAGATTTTTTACTGTAAGAAACTAATAATTTATCTGTATAATGTGTGGTGTTGTAGACAAAATGATGTATATACAGTCTGTTAATAAAAAGGGAGTTAAGTCATGTCATTCAAAATTTTTTCTTGAGGGAAGTGGTACAGTTTGGGGTTTTTAATAAAAAATTGTTTTATTCTAATGAATACAGTAACTGTTTCATAAGGGTAAAAATTTTGTTAGGAATTTCCCATATACATGTTTTTACATTTTAAAGTCTTAACAAATCTTATTACCTGATGGAGGACATTTTGCAATTTCAACACTACAGCTTTAACTAAGTTTGCAGGGTTTTAAGGAAAGATGAGAATATTTTGTCATTTCTAGTGTTTTATGAGCCTGAGTTGCCTTAAAATGTAGTAATGTTGCATTTCTTTTTTTTTTTTTATTTTAAAAATATTACATATTTTGGTAGCCTCATTTATTACCTGGACCACGTTTGTATGGTATCAAACGTATCCCTGTTAATTTTTAGGATTTGTAAGTGGGTTAGAGCAGAATTTCAGCCCAGATGTTTTTCTAGGCCCACATCCTTACAGCGTTCTGAACTGCTTCTCGACAGTGTGAGGGGAAGGAATGTGTGTCGTGATTTCACCATGAAGTGTCGGGTTCATGTTTCTTCCACAGCCAGCTCTAGCATGATCACACATAGCACAGTGTAGCCTCTGAAATATTTGTGGGATGGGTATGTTAGATGAGTACTTACTATGGCAATGTGTTTGGGAGACTTACTGTGATAGAACACCAGTAGGATTGAAGTGATCTGACTTAACACATGTTCTGTAGTAATATCACATACCTTTACTAATGATCCGTATAAAGGGAACTGTGCTTCAGTGTGTCTAAACATTCTCAATGTAAGGGATTATTGATGTTATATTTTGACATACTCAGTTGTAATGTAACCATTTGGTTTATTTAATTTCATTAAAAATACTTGTTTCTGGCAGAACCCTATTTTATTTTAATAAGACCAATTATATACATATATAATATGAATACTATATTTAAATAACACTATTTTGAAGGCGTTACCCAGTATTCGGTTTCATTATTTCAATGTTTTGTTGTGATCCCAAAGTATCATCTAGCCTGCCTGTCCCCCTTCACCTCTCCCCTGGTTGCTTTTCCTCCCTTCTGCTTACATCTTCTCCCTGCCCAGGGCTTTTTCCCATCTTCAATATTTATATACTTCTGCTCCAGAAAACCTAAGTGTTAAAACTTTAGAAATTATGAAACTGTTTCACAAATACTTTTGTATTTGGATACCTAATGGATGTTTTGTTTTGTGTGCAAAAGGTTATTATATCGGGGTGGCCCTTTTTCTTTTTAAAAAGACATAAAGCTTTTGTGGCATGCTGTGTAGTTAGCAAATAATAATAGATTGCAAAACAGTTTTCTCTTGATAACTGGGCCTACTGCAAGTCATGTAGCATAGACATTGAGCATTGCTGAGAAATTTATAAGATTTTGAGAGGGTTTCCTATTGAATTTCATAAACAAGAGCTTAGTTGGTTATCTTTTTACTTTCTGTAGTACATGTCAGCCCTTGTAGAAATTAGCTTAGGTTTCTGTGTATCTCTTATTTCCATAATGCTCTTTCCCCAAATTACCTGGAAGATTTTTTTTTATTTAGAAAAAAAAAATACAATTCAGAGTAGCAGTTGTTTCTAAATTTGTGTAAAACAGAGTTTTTAAAAGATATTTTTATTGTCATTAAAGTTATCACTGCCAAATTGGAGGAAAAAACAGTATAGAAAATTGGATTAAAAGTGGAATTACTATATTTTTTCAGTCTCCAGATTAATATTTGTTGAGTTCTTTTGAAATGTTTCTTTTGTGCTTGCTATACACTGAGTTCTGTGGTTTTTTATTTACTCAGAGCATCCACATAGATCTTTCCTATTTTTTTATGACAAAGTATCATATACTATCAGTTATTTATTCATTCACTATTGGTTGAGAGGTTTTTTTTCTTGTAAAAGTAACAGCAGTGTCTGGGTGGCATGGAGGTTAAGGCCCTGAATCCCACCTGGACGAATGCATGGTTTGATTCTTAGATCCATGAGCTTGAAGAACATACTAGGCTTATATGCGTATGTGCCCAAAATCCCCAGAGGAGAATGAAGGAGAAGGGATTGTGGCTGGCGAGGCCATCCCCCCTAGGGGCTGTTTTCTCACTTTGTCTGTCTGTCTCTGGCAAGCACCTGTACCCAGTAGCAAAAACAAAGTAATGTAACGTCTTGAAAATATACTTGGAATGACATTTCAATTGCTATTTCTCTGAAGTGGCTGTTAGCTGGTTTACAGAGCTTGTGGAATGTGCCCATTTTATTTTCTTATTGCCAGAATGTTTAAAGTGGTTTTCTAAAAAGTTTGTACTGGGGCCAGCAGGTATTGTCGTGATTAATGCACTGGACTCCCACATGGCTGATGGTGATGTGAGTCCCAGACCCCGAACCTTGAAAGTCATGCCAGGCGTGGGTGCATGCATGTCTAAAATCCTGAGAGGAGAATAGAGAAGATGGGATTGTGGAGTGGTTATCTCCCCCGGGGAGTGATTTCTAACTTTTTCTCTCTGTCTCTCTCTCTCCAGTGAGCATGCACCCTATAGCAAAATAATCTCTCTCAACAAAAAATAAAAGGTGGTGCCAGCATTCACTTCCATGTACTTTATGTGAATGCACTTTTCCCCCACACCATATCAATACTTCACTTTTGATGTTTTACCATAAAGTGTGTGCTCACCAGAGAGAGAGGAAAACAGGACCCCCTCTTGGGTCATGGTCACCTGCAAGTCCCTTCTCTTATTTCTCCATTCTGTTAAAATTTTAGGTTTGCTTGTGTACACTCCCAGTTTGCTTTTCAAGCCACTCTGGCCTACATTCAACTGCATTGTCAGCCCTGTGAGATCCGGCCCTATAACCACTAGGATATTGGGCAGTCCCCAATACTTGATTATTCTTTTATTTTTTTCCTATACATTTTTTCTATTGAATTTTATTTATTTACTTATTTACTTAATTTGACCAGAGAGGGACAGAGAGAGAAAGAGAGGGAAAGTGAGAAAGCAAGTCAAGGTCTGAGACTTGAATCATGCTCTGCCATGTGGGAGTCCAGTGCCCTTAACCATCACGCCACTAGCCTGCCCCAAATATCCTTAATTTTAAAATTTTGGTCAGTGTAATATGGAGAAGGCAGTATACTGACAGGTTAAAGGTATGGCCTGCCTTTGTTTAATTTTTAGTAAAAGTGAAAACCCACTTTTTGTTTTAAGTTTTTGCCACAAGGTGTGTGTGCTCACTGGGGTTGGGGGTGGGGTAAGAAATTATCCCTCAGGAGGATGGTCACACCACAGCCCCTTCTCACTCCATTGTCCTTGGGATCTTAGACATGTACGCAGCATATTTTTTGTTTTTCTTTTGGAGAGATTTTTGCTATGTGGCACATGTGCTTTCCAGAGAGATAGAAAGCGAGCAGTCAGTGCCCAGGGCAGTGGGCACACATGCCTGGCATGAGTTTTAAGCTGCCGTGTCTGGGACTCAAGCCACCCTTGATGATGT